ACTACTTCTCCATCTGGCAAGAACTATCAGTGCAGTCAGATTGCGTGGAAAGCTCCTGATGAGGGATGGATTCAAGTTCAAGCTGATGGCTCTGTGCTGCAACCTTCTGGGAATGCTGCTGCAGGGGGGCTCATCAGAGACCATCTTGGACGATGCAAGGAAGCGTTTGTTTGCAACCTTGGCCAATGCACAATCACCGCTGCAGAACTAAAAGGCGCATTGGAAGGACTAAGGATTGCTTGGGAAAGAGGCTTCAGAAAGGTGGAGTTAAAGCTTGACTCGGCTGCTGCTGTTAGCATTATCAGAGATTGCTTGGATGACAATCATCGACATGGAACCATGGCTAGGCAGTTTTACCATTTTTTTCGTTTGATTGAGAGGTGAAAGTCTCACATGTGTATAGAGAGGCTAATTTTGCTGCTGACTTTCTCGCTAGCAGAGGTCACGTGTTTGATTTTGGTACACATCTGTTCGATGTGTACGACGTGGATCTTGGCCATTGGCTACGTCATGAGATTGTGAGAGTTTCCCATGATCGCTTAATTCTTAATACAAATTAGACGCTTTAGCGTCGAACCTTCTACAAAAAAAAGGAGCGGACACAAAAATTACAGGACTGCCCTCCTTGACGTTATTGATTTTTGGCCATCCACATGGTTAGCAACAATCATGGTATAAACTTACTAGAGTTGGGCCCGACCCGATGGTCGGGTTCATTTGATCAATGACTTAAACAATAATTACAATGGTACGAAGCAGGGGTGGGACCGAACCGAAATTTTGCATACACGGTCCCCGAATTTCACCAAACCTCAAATCAAATTGGAACCGAATTATAATTTGGTTCGGTCGGTCTAAATTGAATTATAATTCGATTCGGTTCGGAATTTCACACAAAACCGAATTTGTGAGGCTACTTGTATCTTCTCCCTTTTAAATTATTTTTCACACCTAATGTAAACAATAAATATGCAATTATATGCATCATCAATAATAAAATAATAAAATTCAACACATAAGTCATACAACACTAACATTATTCAAATATTTAAGTATCAAAACAACTACAAACAAAAGATATCCACCATTTGGAACTTGCAATTACAGTAATTCGGTTTTTTGATCGAAATTTCGATTCGGATGAAAGAACCCTGATTTCCAAAATATCTATATTTCTCTTCCGAATTTCGAACTAAATAGCATTCTTTCGATTAAGTTCGGCTTGATTAAGTTTCGATTTGGTTCGAGTTTACCGAACCGGTTGCCTACCCCTAATACGAATCATGACTTATTTTTCTTTGAAATCATAGAGTCCAAATTATTTAATTACCGAAAAATCCAAAAGTAACACAGAACATAAAATTTTCCAACAACTTAATCAACTCATCTACGAAACTCATTCCTCAAATGAAAAAAAAAAAAAAAAAAACATATGGAAGGAAACCAATTCCGTATTTTGTAAAAACCAAAGGCCATAATATATTGGGTTAATTGCAAGGATGGTAACTGGATTTACTAAAACCGTTCATGTTTGGTCACTGCAAATATTTAATTTCATTTATGGTCACTAAGATTAGTTCAATAGTTTAAGTTTGATCACTCTCCGTTAGTCTCCGTTAGTTTTTGCTGATGTGGCAGTCAACTATTATAGTTGACCGTTAAATGAGTGACGTGGCCATTAAAAAAATAATAAAATAATAAAATTTAAATATTTACAATTTTCACCTCATTTTACAATTATTAAAAATAAAAATAAAACCTACCTCCTCCCCAACGCCGTCGCCACCACGGATCTCCGATTCAGCCTCAACGCCGTCGCCAACTGGGTGCTGAGGGTCAGCGGCGAGAGGAAGCCGGAGGAAGCCGGAGGAAGCCGAGACGACGACGACGATATCAGGAGAAATGAGGTGGCAGTGGCATAGGGTGGAGAGGTCGCACGGCAAGTTCTGGAGGCAGTTCATGATGCCGGAGAATGTGACCTGTCCTCCGTCAGGGCCAAGCTGGCAAACGGAGTCCTCGCAATCACGTACGCCAAGCTGTCTCCCGACATGATGAAAGGACGCAAGACTGTCGGTGTCGATGGTGCGGGCGGTGGAGATTCGGCAGCGGCGGTGCCGAGATACAGGGTCAAGCCGGAGCTGTGATGCATCAACGTTGAAAGAGTGTTGCGACGATATTTAATTAGCTTTCCCGCTCCGCGCCATTAGCTGGCTAGGGTTTTGATTGTGTTTGTTTTGGATGGATCGAGTAGGTTGATGCCTGTAGCTCTATATCGAATATTAGCTAGCTGGTGTGGTTTTTGTTGGATAATTTTTATTGCAAGAGAATCAATTAGATTAGATGTGCATCTAACTAAATCCTCCTCATTTTCCCCCTTGCTTGTTTGTCCCAATATTCGACTTCAGAGTTTGGCGACGGCGTTGAGCGTGAACGCGGGGAGGAGTTGGAGAGGAGGCTGAATCGGAGATCCGTGGTGGCGACCGTGTTGGGGAGGAGGTCAGTTTTATTTTTATTTTTAATAGTTGTAAAATGAGGTGGAAATTGTAAATATTTAATTTTTTTTTAATGGCCACGTCACTCATTTAACGGTCAACTGTAATAGTTGACTGCCACGTCAGCAAAAACTAACAGAGACTAACGGAGAGTGACCAAACTTGAACTATTGAACTAATCTTGGTGACCATGAATGGAATTAAATATTTGCAGTGACCAAACATGAACGGTTTTAATAAACCCAGTGACCATCCTTGCAATTAACCCTAATATATGGGAGTTGCTATTCGTCGCCCTAAAAATTCTTATTCATCGCCCTAATTTAATTGATTTTACTCTAATACCCTTATTTCATGTATTTTTAGTTTAAACACTTAAACCCAAAGCAAACTTATAAATTACCGTAAATAATAAAAAAAAAAATACGCCGGCTGCCCATCTTCCCACAGCGCCGTAGGGGTGGAAAATGGGAAACGGGTATTTGGGAACACCCAAACCCGTCCCGTATTTCGAGGGTTATGGGTACCCGTAATACCCGTATTATTTACTACGGGATGGGACTTGGGATGAACAATTTCTAGATCGGGTACCCGTGGGTTACCCGCAAATCCCATTTGGGTATTTTGGGTACCCGTAATACCCATTAAATCTGTCATTTGTTTGAATTGGATTACCTCCGTTTGCATCTTCCACAAGTTAGTACTACAAGGTAGTGAAATAGCTAGCAGAGAAGGCACGACCTTCCCAAGGTAAATTTTGTCCCTCCCATTAGACATTCATGTGTAGGTTGTTGGACACTAACGTAAATGTAGTGAATTTAGGATCAATATTACAGAGGATTTGTACTTTTATTTCACTCACTCTCTAACACTCTCACACGGCAATTAATATTGCCTTTTCTCTCTTACAGTAGACAACAAAAATGGTTGTCTTTTTCTATTACTAGCTCTCTGCCTATCTATTCTACACAAGCCATACACAAGCTCTGTTACATATCACAAACCATACACAAGCCTTCTATTTTATAATGGCTACTAACCACCATTGTGCAGGGGATTATTTATTATTAGTACATCTCTCAGTACACATCTCATTATCATTGTATTTGTACCATATGCAGGGTTGTGTGCCATATGATTGTGCATCATAATAACGGCTTGCAACATGCTTCTTCTACTGAGTGTGATCTACTGATCTTTGTGTGTCCAGATTATCGAAACAACTGAATATAGAATATTGCAGCAGTAGGCGGAATTGTAGAAGCTTGGAACTGAACATAGTAGCTCAAGCTTAGTACTGAAGTTGGAATGACTTATTCATATTTTGTGTCACATACTGTTCGTAGTGTGTGTGCGTTGAATTGCTTGCATGCTCACTCTCTCTTTTGGATTGAGTTGTAAATTGAAGGGGCATGGGAGAATTTGTTGAATCGCTGTTGCTCTCCTTAGCTTTGCTGGAGTAAGGCTGCTTTTGTTCCAGTTGTTCAGGGAATATGCTTTGCTATAAGATAGGCAGTTGTTCCATTTATGCTTAGCTTTTGGACTGATCCCTTAATTTACAATTCATCTGTTTGAATTGATGGTTATTTGCCGACCAAGACAAATTATAAATTTATAGTGACAAGCTATGTTTCGACAATTTATGGGTAGATTGGGACATTCGGGTACCCGTTATCCGTCCCGTATGGGTAATGGGTACCCGTTAACCCATACGGGTTTGGGATATGGGATGAATTATCCCCTTCAAATGGGAATGGGTACCCGTTTTAAATGGGATGGGTACCCGTTCCCGTCCCGTTTTCCACCCCTACAGCGCCGGGCGGATTGAAACCCCCGGCGAGCTAGGACAGGTCAAGGGACATCGGTGCAGGGGAGGCCATTATACAAATGAAGTAGGTTTTGGGATTAGAGAATAAGACTATCCAAAAAGAAGCAAAAGGGTGTCAATGCATTCAATGATCCTTGCCCTGTTTCCCCCATAGCAGCCCGCCAAAAACAACGAAGAAGAAGAGGAAGGGAAATAAGTGGCCCAATATTATTTGGTTCTGCTTCATCAAAATCCGATGACAGACTACTCCCATGGACTTCTCCACACACACCATGTAATTTTGGATTGAGGGTGAGGAATGGAGGCGTCGGAGGATTGGGATTGGGGGTGAAGAAGGGATTAGGGATTGTTTGGTAAGGTTTTAGAATTCAAATTCGTTAGGGGTAAAGATGTCAATTTGTTGAGTTTAGGGCGATAAAATTTGAATTTTAGGGCGACGAATAGCGATTCAGTAATATATTACTCTAGTCGAACCCAATCAAAATTAAGAAGAGGAAGCTCAAGCAGCGGTAAAAAATCTTCCTCCACCAAAAGGACCTTTTTTTATAGGCTCCAAAACGACCTTTCAGTCCTTCCTTGAGTTGCGGTGGTGGCTAGAAATTTATGTTTCCGTAGGTTCTCATGAGGAACTTTTATATAGTATTGGTAAGATGCAATCTGGGAACTGGACTACATAAGAGCCACTCTCTTCAACTTGGAAATGGATTTTGGAACAATCTTTGCATTTCCTTCATATCTGTTCGAACAACTTTCAATTTTCAATCCATTCGGAGTACGAGATCTGGCTCTTGAAGTCCACCACAGCATACTCTCATTCATTCATTCATAAAAAAAGAAGAAAGAAGAATAGAATAATGTCCAGCACCAGATGAAATATATCTTCCAAACTATTGGAGCAATTTTCATTCCCGAATGTCCGGTCAAGCTGGGGGCCTTCGATCGACCTAGAATACAGATTCTTAAATAAATTACCCCTTTTCGGGTAGCAAAAGAAAGACCCTATTCCCTTACTTTCCCCTCCAATACTGAAGTGGGGTAGTTCTTACTTAGGCACTAACAAAAATATATAAGTGGGGTTCTTCAAAGGTAAGAGGATTTACACGACACCTTCAATCATCTGCATAGAATTGTCCAGACATACCATCCATGATTCCGAACTGCATGTTCTCCGATGGCTTCCAGTGCCGCTTCCGTTGATTTATGAACCAGTTGTTGATCTGCTTCTGATCCAGCCCTGTCGATTCTGCCAACGCTATCTTATCAGCTTCCTGGATGGGTGCAAATCAACAACAAAAACCCAAAATCAACACATCTCAATCGTAACCCAAAAGCAAAGCCACCTAAACACATGTAGAAAGCAAGCCGAAGGAAAGATGAGAGACTGTACAGTGGGATACGGCCATTTGTAGTGAACATTCCACCACTCAAGTAAGGTCTGCCTTGCTTCCTTTGGTAGCTTCCCTTTCTTCTTCTTCTTTGAGAATTCGAGCTTAAGTGAGCTAATGTGGCTCCCAAACCTACGCAGAAGTCTATCCTTCAGATCGCGGTCTTCGCTGCTTGGTTGACCGTCATGTGCCTCCTCCGTCTCTCCTCCAGTCAACTCCTCCTCGGACGATACAGCACCTTCGTCTGCCCACAGAGTCAATGACAACATTTATATCAAATACTCTGTCCAAATCCAATAGAACAAATGAACAGATACCAAACAAAATTAGTCCTCTTTAGCCCTTCAATGTCGAGCAAATAGGAAACCCGTAGAGAAAAGAGTCTCACGATGAGAATGGATTACGCAATAATTATAGAACATTGTATTATATATGTGGAGTATAAAGTACTTACGGAAGAAACTTCGTAACACCATTGTTAAAATGTTACGTAAGAAATAACGGTTATTTTGTAGCTTTAAGTTAACTTTGATGTATCTAGCATAACAATTATAAAATAATGCTACACAAATATTACAATATGCATTGTCCTTGATAAAGGTAAATATGTGTAGTGTATTAATATTATTTATTTTAAGCAAAGATTAAAATAATTTCACGAAAATTGTTAAGTTATATTACTGAAAAACAATTGATAAGTCATCACAAAAGTCTTATGTAATAACAAATAACTACATTCAATAAAATTAATAATATTTTTCCGAACATTTTCAAGATTAGTGCCGATAATGGTAAAAATCAAAGAGGTAGTAGTTTGGTAAATCAGCTATTAGTTATGGTGACTTAGTCGTGAGCTAGCGTTAGACCCTGTTGAGTAGAGGTGGCAATTATGATCCAAATCCATGAATCCAATCCAATCCATCCACCAAATTATCCACTTAATCCAATCCATTTAAATCCAATCCATTTGATCCAAATGGCAAATTACGATTTGGTACCTATATTTTTTATATTTTACATTTTGGTACCTAAAATTTATATTTTTATACGAAAAATCATATTGGAAAATTACATTTTGGTACCTAAAATTTTTCATTATGACATTTTAGTACCTAAACTTTTCGAAATTTACATTTTGGTCCAAGTCTTGGATGTCATTTGGATTCATGGATCAATCCACCAATCCATTGGATCCAATCCATGAATCCACCAATCCATTGGATCCAATCCATTTGATCCATGGATCCACCAATCCAATCCACGAATCCACGAATCTGATCCAATTGCTACCTCTATTGTTGAGTCAGCCCCACATTATTTAGGGACGGAAAGAACTACATCAAGAAATTGTTAGAACTCCAAGGGTCATACTAGAAAAAGAACTTCAATACCACTAGTCACAAATACTCATTCAAACAACATTTTCTAAATTTACTAACTACATCTATATTTTCAAAGCTATCGAATTCTAAAATCATTCATTCTTAAAAATCTATAACTGACAAAAATACACCAACAAAACCACCCATTGTTAAACCCCTATCGAGCACCCGGTTGGACCCGATCAGAACTAAGTCGAGCTTCAAAACGACCTCTAGAAAACCTCCCAATCTGATCACTAAAGAGAGAGAGAAGAAGATCGAGGAAAGGGAGGAAGATGAAAGAAGACGGTGGGTGAGTCATGATGGTTAGGTAAGTTTAATTTTGTGAAAAATAAATTTTTAATAAATACATGTAAGATAAATTTTATTTCAGTCGTAATTTTTAATTACTACTTTATTTCTATATATATTTAGAAAATGTATAAAATAGCTCAAACCGATTGGACACCGATCAGACACATAAACCTCAAACCCCTCCCTTAACGGCTCAATGACTTAACGACATTTGACAACCTTAGAGTGCTAATGAAGGTGAGAAAAACGGGAACTACTGGTTAGCTACAGGCAAATCCGCAAATAAAACGTAGAAATACTTGAAAGATTTCCGAAAAGGAAGTGCAAGAAGAAGCAAAAATGAAAAGGAAAAGGAAACAGCAGATACAGAGAGTGAGAGTGAATGGTTATGTCAAATGTCAGGGACTCGAGAGACACCTTCACAGTAGTGTAGTGTATGCCCATCAAATCAAGCTTTGCAGAAGGGGGAGCCAGCCAGACTGGTTGAAAAGAAAATATGATTTCTATCTTTTTTATTTTTTCTTCATTTGGGGAAGTGGCCATCAAATCAAGCTTTGCAGAAGGGCGAGTTGAGATACAATTTTGGTTACAGACCTACCTAGCACTAGTGTCCCCAGCAAGCTCGACCTCTTCTTCCTCTTTCGCAAGATAATCTATTATCTATTTTATTTAAGTTTTTTTTTTTACACAAGAATAATAATCTATTTTAAGTTGAGTGCACGATAACGAATGCTGAATGCATTACTTATCGGGCCCCCTGGTACTATGGTGGGCCGTGACGGCCTTTATGTAACCCAATCTTATGACTGGAAATAATACCGACTACCGCCCATGAGATTCTGCAAATGATAGATTTGTTATAATATAGTTAGGTAATACTGAATTAACTTGAACTTATGACCTTCAAGTTCAACACAAATGATAATAGCACTTTTTAATACTTTGGACTAATGATAAAATCAATTGAAAGATTTGATCTACCATAGGCTCAATACACAATGCAAAACTTCATCAGCAGAAAGGAGAGAGAGAGAGAGAGAGAGAGAGAGAGTAAAGCCACCCATAGGCAGCCAGTAAGAATGGAAGGTCCAGTATCCGACGGTAACAACGAATATGGTTTGTGGCACAGGACAGGGCATGGCCAATGAATCCCTGGGCTGGGCTGGGCTGGCCATTTTTGTTTTGTATTTTATTGAGAAAGACTGAAAGAGAAACCAAACCGCATGGGCGACAGGGACAGCCTGATCTGAGAATTCACTGGAAAGAAAGAAGCCCCATTCCGTAAAACAGACAATAATTAAATTAAATTAAATTAAATGGTAATAATAAGGGCGAGGAGACTGACTGACTGAGGTGAGGTGAGGCCTCACCCAGTCACCCTGAGGGAGAGCAACCACTCTACACGAAAAGGATAGATAGGATTTTTAATAATAATAATAATAATACAGGAGAGGAGAGGAGAGACGAGAGAGAGAGAGAGAGAGAGAGAGAGTAATGTAACGGCGGGCCCCGGAAAAGACCCCTCACTCCAGTATGGGGCCGGAGGAGGAGTAGCAGACACGTGTGAAAGCACATCGGAAAAAGGAAGAAAGAGAGGAGAGGAGAGGAGAGGCTAGGGTAGTGAATCAATTAATCAAGACCCGCAACGAAACAAAGAAAGGTGTCCATGGAAATGACACCCACTAGGAGCAGCACTGCAGCTGCAGAGAGACGGGCTGGCTGGCTGGCTGGCGAAATGAAGGAGAGGAGAGGGAGAGGGAAAGGGAAAGGGGGGACATTGAAAATGAAGCAATGAGTAGAAAGGTGGTGGGTTTTTTGGCAGCGAAATGTGCGGGAGTCCCATGTGACCCTCCCCTCCCCTCCGACCTCCCGCTCTACCCGGGCATAAAGCTACCAAAACCAAAACCTTTGCTTTCATATTCATTCATTAACACTTCTCCCTCCGTGACCCACTCTCCATCCACTACCAATCATACGCCACACAAAATCTCAAACACCCATCTCGCTCTCTCTCTCCCTCTCTCTTTCCAACATCCACAATCGCGTGTCATCTTTCACTATGCATGCACGGAACACCTTTCATAGACATCCTCACATAAACTCCCTCCCCCGAAAGCAATATAACATACAAGGTTTTTTGTTCTGCACCTTATTATTCTCCACTACTACTGTGCTGTGCATGTCCATTACCCAGCTACAGTAATATGTGCTTCCTCCAACAACACTCCATCACAGTAATGGGTTTTGAGCAACTTATAGTGATTGATTTACCGGTTTGAATGCTCAACCCAAAAAACTAAACCACAATATTATATACCTTCGCTTCTGACAATGTGAAGGCCAAATTCCCACCTCAAATCTAGCTTTCAACAATGCCATGTATGGTTAGCTAGCCTACCCAACAGAAGAAGAAGGATAAGAGAGAGAACCTAGCCGTAGACAGAACCAGAACTACATCCCTATAAAGGCAAAAACACACGTTGAACAATCAAAAGGTCACCCACGTGCAAAGAAAATGCTTGCTAGTAGCGGCTTCAAAGCCACAAACCAACACCTTTCTTTGCAAGTCAGTCCCCACTGCTAATTGCATTGTGTGCTTAACAATGCTATTTAAATGGTTACTATTCACCAAGATATAAATAATAAAATGCGCATCATAAGTAGAAAGAACCCAATCCAGTGTATTAATTAATTCTGAAAGGTTAGAGATAACAAACAGGTGACAGAAATTTATTATCACGCAGCAATAAGAAAATCATATATCCTGGACCTATACTAGCATAAATTCTAGTGGGCATCTTCAAATGGTGCCATGATCGAAAGAATCTTTTAGCCCGATTGCTTTTTATGGCAAGTTTAACGAACCTTGCCTTAAACAGGGATTAACTACAAACAAAGCATACAACTCAAAAGGTAACATGTACTTGCTCATAAAAACAATCATAGTTGCCAACCAATGCCAACCGTTTAAATAAACGATCAAGTCTAGCTACTTGATACAAGAAGTTGCTTCTTTTTATGACTATTTAATAAAAACGATAGATTATTTCCAATAATCAATCGCCTTTCAAGTTCCCAGGATGCCTGCATTCATTAAAATTTTTAAAAAATGTAATAATATACTTAAGGCTGTTTCGCTAGACTCCTTTTTGTGAACCCCACTCCAGCTGATATGGAAACACCAGCAGCCTTTTCATTTTCATGGGAAACCATGCCTAAGAAGAGCTCATTCATGTTCTACTCTACTTGGTGTTCTAACTACAGATAATATTAGTCACAATCAAGGATTGAAATATCATACCGTAATGGTGGTTCAGCCAAAAAAATCTCTTATCGAAGGCTAAATCGATAGGTGGTATTTAGCGGTATGAAGCAATTGAATCATGGTTAAACCACGATTTCAACATAAAAATACTCTACCGCTAACTTTTCCCGTACAACTTTCGCTACGATATTTCAATCCTTGGTGACAACACATCACAACTTTCGCTACGATATTTCAATCATATCAATCCTTGGTGACAACACATCAGTACTATTCCCACAAATATGTTGGTTTCCTTATTCTGCTTTGCAGAACTGAACATGCAGTTAAAAGGCTGGAAAAGGCTGGAAATTCAATGAGAACATGATCGGCAAACAGATAAAGAAAGTACACATAAGTCATCACAACCAGGTTTCCCAAAGCAGGCAGAGTTAATCGGGAAGGAAGACTCAAATGACGATCAGTATCACTACATACGGTTAATACTAACAAATTCCTAAACTGAGAATGGCGTGAACATTGAACATTCAAAGCCACTTGAAATGAGAACACCCAAATTGTAGGCCATTAACACCCAACTAATATTATGCCATTTTTTACTGTTTGTTTCAGAGAGCAACAAGGACTGAATGTCAGCTCCAACATTCAATGTGAGCAATGCTAAATTAGGCTTTCCAAAGCATAATATGAAATCAGTTACATGCACGGATGGCAGATTAATCAATAAGCAGAAAGAAAGAAAGAAGACCTAGTAAAATGTGTTTTTCCTTCTCAAATAGATAGTAACTACGCTTACTCCTGCAATTAAAGGAGAGGGAAAAGGGCGAGTTCGGAGTAACTGGGACTTCAATCAGTCAATCTGAGGACATCTCGCCTACTACTGAACCAAAGGGTCTTTTGATATTCTTTTCTAACAAGAAACATGGAATAGTATAATCACAACTTACTGAAATGTGTTTTTTTTTTTTTACTCGACTAAAAACGTGCTAGTGCTGTTATTTATTAACATATCGGGCATGCAGATTCCATGAGAAAACAAAATTGAGCATGAAAGATCTATGCAAGCAGAAAAGTTTAACACCTTCAAGTTGAGCTACCCGTAGGCCCCCGGGAAACTATGCAAATGCCCAATAAGACAATGGGTCCATGACACATTCGAGTGGAAGTCAACTGAAAACACTCCACGACATATTCAGACCATTTTGGACCTATTTCAAACTTGAAATTTTTAACATTTCCACAAAGCAAGCAGCGGCGTAATGCATTCAAGAAACTGATTCGTTACAAGTTCGCATCCAGGCAAGCGTAAGACATGATGCATGCAAGCCAAAAACAACCCTACCAAGCAACTCAAAACATTATATTTTAAATACACAGCAAATGATGGCATAGACAAAGCTGCAAACACAACTCTCATTCACATTAAAACATTCCCCGCAGTTTCTATATTACCTATGGCATCCGACAAAACAAAGAAATAATCAAACTACTGTTTGGTACTTACATAAGATATCAATGAGTCATTCAGAATCCGTAAAATGGAAGATTTTACTTTCAATGTTTAATACTTCTGACAAAAGCAAATAGAAAAAAGAAACCCTCCAAATTCGAAAGCAAAAAAAAGAGGGCTGGAAAGAACAACCACCACAGCAGACAAGACGAATGGCAAGATGCATCTTGACTGACACCATCGTGTATATAATAATATACGTGTATATAATAATATATATTTTCGCGCTATGAAAAGAAAAGGTGTTTTAAGCCACTGTTACAAGGTCCATTAACAGCAGAAACATTGACCTCGCTGTGTTGACGGGCTCTTTGATTACTCGAGAAACAAAAGACTTGCTAGATTCACCGCCATAGACCCTTCTAAACTATAATATTAGCAAAGCATTTCAGCCGGTACTAACGTGAACTACTTATCAGGCCGTCTTCATTCCCGTGTCTAGGGTTTTAAATTCTAACTAATGCGCCCACACCAACATCTGGATTGTTCTTTTCCAAAGTCTTGGAAACCCAGATCAACGGAAGAATACAGGTAAAGTATTTTCAATCCAACCATGCAAGTTGCGGGGTATAATCCACAGCACAGGAATCGAGGGATCTAAATCCCGATCTTAATTGATTCTATGGGAAAATGATCAATGAAATATTAATAGATTAACCGAGATAGATGAACTAACCTGCAGATACGCTTCTTCGGATTGAGGCGCCTGTGCACAGATTGCGAAGCTGAATTTCGATATTGTTCAAGAAAGTGGTCGCCTCATCAAACGGCCGCTCCAGATCCGATTTGTATTTGACCAATACATCGCAGTATGTTTCCTGGAAAGCATTAATTCAAGCTAAATTTTTTGCCAAAAACGAAAGAAGGAATCAAAGCTCTTGGATTGGGTGCCTAGAAGAAAACGAGAGGAGAGAGAGAGACCATGAACTCGTCCAGCTCGGGATCAGCTCCCAAGCACGCTGCGGCATCTCTCCGGCAATAAATATCATTCTCTTGACGGATTTCGTCCAACAAGCTCGATATCTCCGGAGGTGCTCCTACCTGCAAAACTCACGGACGGATTTATCACAAGGGGAAGTAAGGAACGGAGAGCTTTTTATTTGTCGCCGTTAATAGAACACCGAGAAAACCAGAAGGCAAAAATATGCTCTCCTCTCAACACGCAGCACAGAAAGAGATACAATCAGTTCTGCTCCACCATAAAGAATTCGCAGCTCATTTTTGGGTCAGTAATTATAGCGAACAGCTTATCGGCATAAATAAGGAGGCTTCAGCTAGCAGCCAGTACAACTAACAAAAAAAAAATCCGCAGAGCTCCTCTCTCTTACTCTCTGAACATTAACAGTTTGTACCTGTTGGGTTAACAAAGGAGCTCTCTCCAACACGCAATAATTCGAATTCTAAAAACCGCTGGAACAGTAGCAACAGCAATCCGAACAGAGAAGGCAAATAAGGGAAATTATTTTATTAACTGCAAGGCAGAAGCGCCAAACAGCGCGCAAATAACATCGCTGAACACCACATGAAAAGGAGAGAGAGAGACGCTTTGTGTATTTTCACCTTCTGGCAATCAATATAGGCGTCGAGCAAGCGGGGGTAAGAAGGATGGGAGGCGATTTTGGCTTTGATGAGCGCAGAGAATTCTTCCTCCCGGTGGTGAATCTCGGGAGTAATGGAGGCGGACTCCGACGCGGCGGAGAGAAACTCGTCGGATCCGAAGATTGGGACGCCGCTGGAGTTGCCGTGGTGGTGGTGGCTGCTGCGATCGCGAAAGTTGTCGGTGGAGGCGAGGAAGCTCTGGTAGTCCGAAGGAAGGATGAGATTCTCCGGCGACATCAGGGACTTGTCCGCGTACTCCGACGTCGAGGAGTGCAGACCGTACATTCCATCCATCTCCGTGAAGAAAGCCCTCCCAAGAAGTAGAGACAGAAGGTTGAATCAAAGAAGAGAGAGAAAGAGAGAGGAAACGAATGGCGGAATGATGGTACAAGACTAGGTGAGAAAGATTAAGCAGGAGACTAGGATATACTAAGGAAGAAGAAGGAGAAATTGGGGAAGAGAGCACATGGAGTTTTTTTTTTTCTTCTTCTTCTTAGTTCTTATCTTTGCTTTTTTTTTTTTTTCCTCTCTTTTTCTTTCCGAAATTATGTTGCTGTTGCTGTTTGGCTGCTCCTGCTGCTGCTTCTTCTTAGTTTTGGAATTTGTTTGTCTTCGGAATTTGGGGATTTTCTGAGTGCCTGGGTCTGGGGCTGCCTGCAGTGGCAAGTTTTTGGATGTGCTGGAATTTGGAGCAGCAGAGAGGTGAAGTCCAAGTGGATGTTAGGACTTAGGAGGGTCAGGCAGGGCTGGGATTTAAGTGTAAGGATCGGATTTTTCTTAGCTAATTATCATGCAGAGTAAAAAATAAATTGATAGCATGATAATATAAAAGAATTAATTTTTTGTTATTATCATAAATGCGAAGAAGGCATTTAAGAATATTAGAATCGCTCAAAATGAATTAAACTAGAATTTTTGTAGCGTGTTTGTTTAAACATTTTACATATGGATAAATTTTTTATTTTTGTACCGTGTTTATATATGGATAAATTATTATTAATATTAATAGTACATTTTAATCCAAGGGCTCTCTTTAGGGACCGGATAAAGAAATCTAATCACTCTATTTTAACACTAATTACAAGTAGCTATCGAATTTCTCTTAGCAATACATACTATGTTTGACAACAAGAGTGCAAATTTGAGGGGTCCAAGTTGAAGGGTAAAAATTGGTGGGGTGTAAATTAGTGGAGAGTTTAAGTGGAGAGGGAAATTGTTATTTGGATGCAAAAGAGGGAAATAGAGTGAAAAATAAATATATGATATTATTATAAAATATATTATTAAAATTTATAAAATATTATCACAAAATAATAAAATAAAAATTATTATATCATGTTAATAAATATACTCCAATAAAAATAATTATTTAAATAGTAATGCTCAAATAATAATTAATTGTAAATGTAACAACTGTAATAATCATTGGTTGAGAAACCTCGAAACTCTATGTTAACTCATAACTGCTCATCAGATAGGGTTCTCGTGCCTAATTTAACTTTAAATTGAATATGGTCAAGCTTAGCCAAACCGTGGTGGGGTTTCCTCCCACAAGAGCTTCTCTACTGCTTTTTAGATGGATGCAGACAATGGATGCTCAAAACGGTTCAGGAACAGGTCCTCCCAAGAGCGGATCCACATCGCTCTTGAGGTACAACTTCAGATGGTGGCCAGACACACGGAGGGTGTGGTCATCAGCGCGGGCTAACTCGACCTCGCCATCTAGTAGGATGCAAGTGAGTGAATACTCGGATGTACAGGGCGGTCGCGACTCAGGGGCTGGAACCAGCTCATAGTGGTCTCCAACTTTCTTTTTGGCAGACTTGGCTGCCCTCAGCTTTGGTCGCCACTCCTCCTTGAACTTCTCTTTTGGTGACTGGGAAAGCTGGAAAGGTGGTGAAGGAGGGGCGTAGAGTCCTGCAAAATGGGAACCACAAAAGGATGTATGATTCGGGTCCAATTCTACACATTTTATCCCTCATTTCTTGTCTGTTTGACTTGGTAAATCATCGTCCCTCGACCTATTTTAAGCTAGGTTGTGCTTGTTTTGCTATATTTCAGGTCCTAGCACGTGTGGGAAGGTCGAGGACGAGTTTCGGGGAGATTGGAGGTCAAAAACTACCAAAAAGTGAAGAAAAGTCCAAAGTCCTGTTACAATTGTTTGAACACCGTGAAGTCTAAGGCAACCAGGAAGTTTTTCCCTCCTCGCGGGCTTACGAGAAATCACGGTCACTCGACCATGACAATTTTCCCCCGACAGTGAAGTCATTCAAGAAACGGCCCAGCCTTCTGCGTTTTTTACCGAGATCACGGTTGGGCCTCCGATGTCACGGTCGTGAAGTGTTGACCGTGAACTTAACTCTCGAGCTGTACAAAAAGACAATTGCGGGGAGAGAGAAAGTTGAGCTGGTTTTTGGAGGAGAAATCGATTTTGTCTCGAGGGTTTCAACCCAAAAAAACAAAGGGCAGTTCTAGTGAGACTCCTTGGTCCGTGTTTGCATTCTAACCCTTCTCAAATCATGGTCGGTCGGCGTTGCTACCCCGAGGGGTTCCCGCCAGTCAGCTTTATTGCGCCTTACGGGTCTACTCGCCCGTTGACTCGCACACATGTTAGACTCCTTGGTCCGTGTTTCAAGACAGGCCAAATAGGGAGCCTGCAGGCCGACGCCATTAGCGCACAAGTGTCGAAGCACGCTGTGACGGTGTGTGCTTCATTCCACGATCGCGATGGTGACATCTTCACGAGCCTATCAAAGGCTCGAGCTTGGGCCGCAACCACAATCCGCGTCGGTCCGCACCCCGAGCCGATCGGCAGACCGGCTTTCACCGTTTCGCATCTGACCGAGGCACATTGCCGGCCCCCATCCGCTTCCCTCCTGACAATTTCAAGCACTCTTTGACTCTCTTTTTCAAAGTCCTTTTCATCTTTCCCTCGCGGTAATTGTTTGTTATAGGTCTCTCGCCCGTATTTAGCCTTGGACAGAATTTACCGCCCGATTTGGGCTGCATTCCCAAACAACCCGACTCGCAGACATCGCCTCGTGGTGCGACAGGGTCCGGGCACGATGGGGCTCTCACCCTCTCTTCCGTCACTTTCCAGGGGACTTGGGCCCAGTCCGCTGCTGAGGACGCTTCTCCAGACTACAATTCGAGTGTCATGGGCGTTCGATTCTCAACCTGGGCATTTCCAGGTTGGCTCGCCGTTACTAAGGGAATCCTGGTAAGTTTCTTTTCCACCTCTTATTGATATGCTTAAGCTCAGCGGGTGTTCCCGCCTGACCTAGGTTCTCATTTTGAAGGTCCATTAATCCCTCAGGGTCTATTGTGGTGCCATCGACCAAGGAGCACACGCATGCGATGTGACTCTATTGTAATTTCAACCACAGCTCGCAACGGCGTCCTCAGCCGACGACTTCATTTTCGGCCAACCGCAAGGCTCGAGTGAGACCCCGGGAGGCCAACATCCGCTCCCATCCCCGCGTGGGGATGGGACGACGTTGCGTGACACCCAGGCAGACGTGCCCTCAACCGGAAGGCTTCCTGTGCAACTTGCTTTCAAAGACACGATGGTTCACGGGAATCTGCAATTCATACAAGTATCGCATTTCGCTACGTTCTTTATTGATGTGAGAGCCGAGATATCTGTTGTCGAGAGTCATTATAATAACTAGTTGGTGGATAGTCATTCCAAATGCCCCGAGACCGGGCACGAGGCACGACATCGCTCGAGTATTCCTTGACGTATTCTGCGCTGGGGTTGTTAGTTTGTGAGGTGAAGAACGGCCACTAGGACACCCCTCTAGACGAGTTCATCACTAAGATGGGCTAGGAGCCACATCTTGCTCTAACCCCGCCCATGTTTAACAAAGATTTCACTTGTCATTCTGCTTTGCACGTTTCGACAATGATTCTTCCGCAGGTTCACCTATGGAAACCTTGTTACGACATCTCCCTCTAAATGATAAGGTTCAGTGAACTTCTCGCGACGTCACTGGCGGCGAACCGCCCACCTCGCCGCGATCCGAACACTTCACCAGACCATTCAATCAGTAGGAGCAACGGGCGGTGTGTACAAAGGACAGAGATGTATTCAACGCGAGCTAATGACTGACGCTTACTAGGAATTCCTCGTTGAAGACCAACAATTGCAATGATCTATCCCCTTCAAGATGAAATTTCAAAGATTACCCGGGCTTGTCGGCCAAGGCTATAGACTCGTTGAATACATCAGTGTAGCGCGAGCGGCCCAGAACATCTAAGGGAATCACAGACCTGTTATTGCCTCAAACTTCCTTGGCCTAAAAGGCCATAGTCCCTCTAAGAAGCTGGCCACGGAGGGTGCCTCCACATAGCTAGTTAGCAGGCTGAGGCCACGGAGGTGCACACCGAAAGGCGGACCGGCCGACACAACCCTATGTCCAACTATGAGCTTTTTAACTGCAACAACTTAAATATACGCTATTGGAGCTGGAATTACCGCGGCTGCTGGAACCAAACTTGCCCTCCAATGGGTACTCGTGAAGGGGTTTAGATTGCACTCATTCCAATTACCAAACTCAAAGAGCCCGATATTGTTATTTATTGTCACTACCTTCCCGTGTCAGGATTGGGTGATTTGCGCATCTGTTGCCTTCCTTGGATGTGGTAGTCGTTTCTCAAGCTCCCTCTTCGTAATCGAACCCTAATTCTACGTTGTCCACCATGAGCCCGAAGAGAGCACACAACGAAAATTAAAGGCCAACTTCAAACTTCCCCTTAATGGGCATGCAACACAGGAACCCGATCATCAACCCTTACCGTGCGCGAGGTAACAATGAAAAGATTTGCAAGAAGACGGTTTGATGCTCGGAGCATGAAGCCCTCCCTCCCTCCCTCCCAAACAACTCAACTACCACTCATGTGCATCACGTACAACGCAAAACAATCCCAACAAGATGACCCACTACCAAGCTTAACATATAGCTAAAACTCAACTCGCGAATTCACTTGATGAAGCAACATGCGCACCGCTTAGCACGTAAATTGCCTCCAAAGAGACAAATCAAAGAAAGCCACATTCGTCGAGATCAAATATCGATACAGGGTTTACCCTCTATCGAACATTTTCGAACAATCCACATTCATCTTCGAAGAGACAAATTAAAGAAACCCACATTCGTCGAGAGCGAATATCGATACACGGTTTACCCGCTGTCGATATTCCATAAAAACATTTACGGGCAAAGGTTGGCCGAGAATCTCGGTAGCATTGCTGGCCGAGTGCACTCTGGCCGAGAAATCTCGGCTGTAGCTTGCCAAGTGCACTCGACGGCGCTAGCCGAGAGCACTCGACAACGCTGGCAAGGAAGTGCACTCGACAGCGCTACGCTGGCCGAAAAGTGCACTCGCAGTGCTGGCCGAGAGTGCACTCAACAACACAGGGCGAGAATTCTCGACCGCCTGTGCGATATTTCTCGACCAGCTGCAGAGGCTGGCCGAGTTATTTCGCATGGGTTGGCCGAGTGCACTTGTCGAGTTATTTCCTCAGTCTCCTTTTCTCTCCAATGACGAGGCTAGCTCCCCCCCCCCCAGTCATTGGCCTTGGCCACCCATGGGCCACAGGGGACCAGATAGGCACCACCCCCTAAAAGAGCTCTTAAGGTTTTTAGCACACTGTCAAAGGTTGACATGCCAATGTTCGAGGAGTCACACCCTCATAAAATCTTCAATTTAACGAATTTTGACACGGAACTTTGCATGGACGTTAAGGACAGTATTTCTAGGTCTCCCACCAAGTTTCACGAAATTTTGATGTGTAGATTATTTTCTACGAATTTTTAATTTTTGAAACTTTAACAAATCGTAAAAAATACAACACAACTCCAAATTTTGTGAATTTTTTTTTGGAAGCACCTTACCATGTTTAAAATTGAATGGGACAATAATATTGAGAAAGGCACGACACAAATTTACAAACTCTTCACAAAGGTTATGGGACAATAATATTGAGAAGGCGCATAACAAACAAGATTTAATGTGAGTCTATGTTGAAGTGTCCAATATTATGTGTTTGTAAATCACCATGAAACAACTATTGGGATCAATGAATCATGTTTGGACAACTTTTCATGTTATTGCAACGCATAAAAACGACAATTTTTGCCCTCAAATTAGTTTGGGTGAAACGTGCCC